AGCAGATGTGGCGGAGCCGAAGGAGTTGGGAATAGGGGATGGCATTTTTGCAGGAAGTTGGGTGGGAGGAGGTGTATTCTAGGTAGCTGTGGGAGTCGGTGGGCTTGAAATGGATATCGGTTTCTAGCTGGTTGACAGAGACGGAAACAGAGAGGTCCAGGAAGGAGACAGAGGTATCAGAGATGGTCCAGGTGAACTTAAGGTTGGGGTGGAAGGTGTTGGTGAAGTGGATGAACTGTTCGAGCTCCTCGTGGGAGCACGAGGCGGCGCCGATACAGTCATCAATGTAACGAAGAGGTGGGGTTTAGGGCCACTGTAGGTACGGAAGAGGGATTGTTCCACGTAACCTACGAAGAGGCAGGCATAGCTTGGGCCCATGCAGGTACCCATGGCCACCCCCTTTGTCTGTAGGAAGTGAGACGACATGTCCATCCTGGGCCTCCTGCAGTGCCACAATGATGCCACTCGAAGGTTGCAGAAACAGCAACTCATATTCCGCTTGGGAAGCCTGCAGCCCAATGGTATCAATGTGGACTTCACAAGCTTCAAAATCTCCCCTCCCCCTACTGCATCCCAAAACCAGCCCAGCTCGTCCCCGCGTCCCTAACCTGTCCTTCCTCCCACCTCAAGCCCCACCCCCATCACCTACCTACTAACCTCATCCCGCCCACTTGATCTGTCCGTCCTCCCTGGACTGACCGATCTCCTCCCTAACTCTCCACCTACACTCACCTTTACTGGCTCCATCCCCGCCTCTTTGACCTGTCTGTCTCCTCTCCACCTATCTTCTCCTCTATCCACCTTCTACCCGCCTCCCCCTCTCTCCCTATTTATTTCAGAACCCCCTTCCCCTCTCCCATTTCTGAAGAAGGGTCTAGGCCCGAAATGTCAGCCTTCCTGCTCGGCCTGCTGTGTTCATCCAGCTCTACACCTTGTTATCCCAGATTCTCCAGCATCTGCAGTTCCTACTATCTCTGAAACATCTCTGAAGCAGGTAGGTTTTGCACCTGGGCCTTCCAACTCAGAGATAGGGACACTAATATTTCTCCAGAAGAATCCTTCTAGTACACATGATAATTGTTTCAATCAACCTGTTTGAACATGCTATGACACACCTCTAGGACAGTTTCTTTTAATTTCAAGAATATACTTTATTCATAAAATTTATCTGTAACTACCGACAAAGGTCCTAAAACAGTTCTTTGCAGTGGATAAACAAACAACACATTGGAATTTGACATTCCTCAGAGTTTCCCTGCAATTGCAAAGTAAAGGCATTTTCTATTCACACATTTTGAGACAAGAGAATGCTGTTAAATGAGTTAAAGCTCACAGCATAATGAGGACTGAGAATTGTCATAGCATCACATCAGTATAGGTAAACAGATGATCAGTTGCTGCTTAAAACTTAATGGTTTCTACTCTATCGAATGATTAATTTATCAAGATTCTGGAGCCTGAACTAAGAGCTCTTTTAACAATATTTCAAGTCTGAAATTGCAAGGCAAACAGCATGTAGTGAAAGGGTACTGGAAACAATCCATCCAGCATGTTCAAAATACCATCAAGAAATAACTTTACACTTGCAATAAAATGTCAATGCAAATCATCAACTGAGATACAGAGTGTGATTGCTTAGAGACATGGATAAACAGATGTAATTTGAATAACAGACATTCACGCAAACTGTCCATCAATAATGTATGTTGACGCTGTAATTTAAACTTAATGTGCTAACTCAGCCATCTGGTGGACAATATGGGTAGCACAGAAAAATCATAAAAGAAGGAATAAAACAGTGCCTTCCAAATGTTTTCCTACTGTGGCCCATGCTTGAAAATACGTGCAATCTCAGAGTAAGGATAGGATACTGTGCTGTTGAAAAGGCACCAATGGTTTTGTCCACACCTGTTTTAAAGACTCTGATGGAGCCTCACAGCCAAGAGTTGTGTGTAGACGGGCAATGAAGGATGGGTTTCAATCCCAGGAATGTCCCATCATTTTGCCAGTGTGCATTCAAACAACATCATCCATGACAAACACATCGATGGAAGTTCCCAACTTTACAGAACGAACAACGCCATCCTTACCTGGTCTGTCCTATATGTGACTCCAGCCGTGCTGCAATGTACTTGCCTCTTAACTGCACTCTGAAATGGTCTAGCACACAATGCAGTTCAAGGGCAATTAGGGATAGGTAACACATGCTGACCTTGTCAGTGACACCCACAAGAATTCAAGAAAACAGCCAGAGGCTATGCTCAACAGTCAGCAATGCTGCCTCAGGGCTCACAATCAAATGACCACCACAGTCTATAAAGTGGAATAAACATTACCAGGCTGAGCAATGATTGGTTTTATTGTACTGTATTCAACAAATTAAAGAAACAGCATATATAAATTACAAGAAAATCTAGATATAATATAATTTTAACTCTCAAATAAAACAAATAACAGTGAATGCAGGAGATCTGAAACAAAGACAACATATGCTGGAGAAACTCAAGAGGTCTGGTAGCATTGCTAGAGTTTCGAGTCCAGTGAACTTCGTCAGAATTGGTTGTCTTCACAGATGCTACAAGACCTTCATGGCTTTTCCAGCACTTTTGGTCTTTGTTTCTAACTATATCTTTCTTGACAGTCTTGATCACAAAATCAAGGTTGACACACCAGGAGTGCTTCCCTGCCAAACAGGCTAGCTTTCAAACAAGGTGTTAAACCGTGGCTCTATATACTTTCTCAGATGGACATGAAAAATCTCATGGCACTATCTGAAGAACAGCAGTAGTTTTCGCCAGTTGCTGGAGCTAGTACTTATCCCTCAACTAAATCACTCATCAACAACTTGCAAAAGTTCTTCTTCTCAAATTCCCAAACTCTACCACCTAGAAGGACTGGGGCAGTGGATGCCTGGGGTTAGCACCATCTGTAAGTTCCCCTCCAAGCCACATACCATTCTAACTTGGAATTATAATTATCATTCTTTCACTGTGGCTGATTTATCAGTACAGCAGTTCAAGATGGTGGCTCACTACTATCTCCTCAAGAGCCATACAGGATGGGCAATAAATACTGGCCTAACCAATGATGTCTGCAACCTGAGAACGAATAAAAATACCGCCAGTGGATTTTCTACACTATAACTGTCATCAAAATTGCTTCATTAGGTCGGACGCCTTGAGGTTCTGAACGATGATGATTGAAATCCAAGTTTTTCAATCTTGTAACCCAGTCATTTGATAGATCAATTCCAGTCCAATCTCTACACACTCTAATACAATTTATTGCTTTAAATAGCTGGGTTCTGCTACTGGTTGGTATGTGTTTCAACACTACAAGGAACAAAAAACATACCTATCACCAGAAAAGAGAATAAACAACTTCCCTGAATTTGATCTGTACAGATTATAAATAGGGAAGGTGTTTCAAGGGTGAACCTCTCTCAAGGTTTAGATAACACTGATAAGTGGCTCAAGATTCATAATTCTAGTTTTGTACTATCATTTGAGCTGTGTTATAACACAATCCAGCCTGTAAGTAATCCAATATAAACTGTGACACTTCCAACACAGCTGAAAAGTGTGACTATCTACCAGCGGATTTCCAACAGTGCTGCTCACCTTACACGTTATATGGAAGATTCTTTGATACGTTTTGAGTCAGGTTCTTGTGCTGCAACAAACAGCGAGTCCAGTCCTATCCAGTCTAACAAGACCCGTTACACAGTGAAAGAAGTGGGACTACAGCTCAGGTAAGGCAAGGCTTAAGGAGGCTTTCAAGACAATGCAAGTGCGGCAAAGTGAACAGAGGCCAGGAGGAATACTGCTTGTATTTTCAAAAATTAATAGGACTAGATAAGCCCTCTGGGTAGGAATGGGAAACAGGAGTCAGGACAGATTCTGTACTGTGAACCCATCCAGGGAGAGGGGGGTAGTCAGCTGTTGGGATTTTAGAGTTATAGAGTCATACAGCTGTACAGCGTGGAAACAGACCTGTCGGTCCAACTTGTCCATGCCGATCAGATATCCTAAATTAATCTAGTCCCATTTTCAAGAAGGAAATTCCTAAGTGGCGCAGAGATTCATGTTCTATCCAACTCAGGAAGGCGGCAGCAAGAAGGAAAGCACAGCAGGCTACGATGACAGGCAGGTAACAGAGAAGGTGTTTCAACATGGAAACATACTCTCAACTATGTTTTCGCAACTTTATAATTTAAAAATCGTTCTTGCAACCAGGCCACCATGGTGCAAGGAGGCGACAATAGTGCACCTCTACAAGAAAAGATATGGTTGCTCTCATAGCTAAGCAGGGAAGAACAGCTTCTGGGTCTGACTGGAACGTTTCCACTGCTGCCACCCCACTCCTCACAACAGCCTGCTGCTGAGTACCTGCTCTCAGACACTTAAACTGCTCCTAAAAGTATGGGAAACTTGAGGCTGTCTAAAAAAATTGCAAAGTCACATGACACCAGGTTATAGTCCAACAGGTTTATTTGAAATCACAAGCTTTCGAAGAGCTTCTTCTTCACCTGACGAAGGAGCAGTGCTCCAAAAGCTTGTGATTTTAATTAAACCTGTTGGACTATAACCAGGTATCATGTGACCTCTAACTTTGTCCACTCCAGCCTAACACCAGCACCTCTACATCATACAAAATTGCAATCAGTCATCTTTTCCTGAATTTAAAAAGGCTTTTAAAGTGCCTAAACAAGGCCAATATTTTCAAGCTGTCATGGCTGCCATTCCTGTGCCCAGAAATTTCTGTCCATAGTATCAGGACTTGAGGCAAAGGGCACCAAAAGACCAGAAGACAGATAAATGGCTGGTGGCAGAGCAGTGAGAATGACAAGAGGAAGACCAGTGGCAGCATTTTTAACTCGAGTAATAAACCACAATAAATGCTTCAGTCCTTTGCTCAATTTATTGGTAGAACTAACTGAGTACAAGTGCACCAACATGCAAACCATCAGGATGATTTTGTAACTGAATGCATTGGTTTACCTCGGTTTCCGGTCTGGGAATGAAAACTGGTGGCTTGATTTTCAGCGTCAGAGCACAGAAGTCCCACTCCTCGATCACATACTGCACAGGCATGCTAGAAGAAGAAAAGAGAACATGCTGCAAAATTAACCATTTACTAAGTTGTTAAAATATTGGGTACTGTTGAAGCATGTCATTTTGCACTTATCAGGAAAATTTGCAAGTGTAATATTCAAGTGAAAAATCAAAATTTATACTTCATGAGAGGAGAGTGCTAATTGGTTAGCAAATTGACTCTGATTATAGAGCCATTGCCATGGAGAATGCAACAGTTAGTGTTGACTGACAGCTAACTGTCCAGCTTCACTGAAATTTTAAACCAGGCAAGTTGACTTTAACTGGCCAGTGCATTGTCCTGAGAAATGAAAGATTGAATGACTGTCATCTATTGAGTTGAAACAGGTGAATGTATGTATGTTCTGTCTGCAAAAAATGGGGCTCTGTGTACTAATGTATATAGCTTCCAGTACATACAAAAGATTCACACTGCCTGTCCGACTGACCATTTGAAATTGGAGACAACCATAGAAATTGCTGGAAAAGCTCAGCAGGTCTGGCAGCATCTGTGGAGAGACATCACAGTGAACGTTTCGGGTCGAGTGACCCTTCCTTGGAACCCCTGAAATTGGATGTCAACGTAACTTTGCATACTCCAGATAATCCAGCAAATGTTGTCCAATTGCAGAATCATATCTGATGTTGGACATTGTGCTGTCAATTTGACTAAAAATAAGGAATCCCCACAGTGATCTGGGCTCAAGCACAAGTGTTAACATCACACCTCTACTGTACCAAAGCCCTGTACAGTAAGGGAGTTCTACTCTTTCATATTGCATATGTGGACATCCTGATTACAGAATTGCACTTTGGAGATGTGATACACAGTCAAGGGGCTTCTACATGCTAAAGGAAGTAAAACATGCTCGATGAATCCCAACACTGCTTGGTCACTGACTATAGAGAGACATTAGATGAGGTTTGACAGCTAGCCATATGGCCAATAATATCATATTGTAGTGGACAATGTTTAAGATTAAAATAAGCAAAAATGAATCATATTTGAAAAAGATAAAAAAAGGGAGCTGTAAAAATATATTCAAAATATCGCACTGGTGTAGGCGCTTCGAACACAAATTCCAGATCATCTGCTTCTGCTCTGTAGTGAGTGAACGTGACAGGGCCTCTTCTGTAAGGTTGTGAATCTGGAGGATAGAGAAAGAAAGTTATTAAAATGTGAACACCGTTGTTGATTAAAAATAAGTGCGACTAATGTCATCGTGGTGCCATACCAATACCAACACACTATAGAAAAGTATTGCAGTTGAGTGAATTCACTTCTAGATATGAAAAATACATTTATAGAATTGAATAATAATGGAGCACAGGAGGCCATTCAGCTGTGCTGGGGAAGGGTCACTCAATCCGAAACATTAACTCTGATTTCTCTTCACAGGTGCTGCCAGGCTGCTGAGATTTTCCAGCAGTTTCTGTTTTTGTTTCTAATTTGCAGCATCTGCAGTTTTTTTTGGTTTTTAGTTAGGCCATTCAGTTAATTGTGCCTATGCTGGTTCTTTGATAATGCCATCCAATTTGTCTCACTTTCCTGTCCTTTCCCCACAACTTAGCAAATGCTTTTCACTTTATGTGTTTATCCTTCTGAAAGTTGCCAAATATCCTTGGAATTCACTGTTTACGGAGAGGAGATCAACAATGATGTTGAAAGGAAACTTGGCCACTTGAGCAAGACAGACTCGCAGGGTTACAGGGTTACAAGAGGGGAATGGTGTTTGTGGTATAATAAGTAGATTGTTAAGATGTTTGAATGAAGGTCATTGTTTAATTTTGTACCAAGAGTACTTATAAATAGAAACTGCTGGGTTAGAGGATGGAAACAGATATATGTAATGCTACATTCTGTGAACAAACACAGTAAAAGGATTTGTGTCCGCTTTCGTACTTCAACAATCAGGCTTAAGAATGAATGAACATATAGAACTGGCTGTACTGCTAAATAGCACACAATGTGGATGAGAAGGGCTAAATGGACTCCTTTTGAGCTACCATTAAACAACAAATTAAGGGTCTTTCATATAACGTACATTAAATTGATCCTATCAAGAGTGCGAACTTTGCCACATCTTACATTTTCAGGTCAGACTGGTGACTATAGTGCTATAGCATTTAATTATGTAATGCAGGGTAATAGATCAATATGATGTGTCTCAGAGTATGCGTGAAGGCAGTTATCAATGCTTCCATTTTTGCGTATAGTTTGTTTCTCATTTTCAGCCTCCACTGCTGACTGGCCACATTGTGAAAAAAAGAACCAAATATGTAAATCTCCCCACCAGTATATTGTCTGCCCATCAGACAGTCTTCAACCGTGCCTTCTTGTGGTGGCACACAGACGGTGTGCAGGCCTAATGACACATGGTCATGCCCTGGATTCACAAATCAACTTCTCAGCTTTGAACAAATAGTTCAGAAGAGATGAAGTCTAAGAGAGTAAATGCTGAAAAAAATCTGTTGTGTAATTGAAAGATGGACTGATGTCTGAATAGATAATCTTTCCTGCAACTCTTGCAACAGAATGCACTGCTTTGCATGCCTAGGGATGCACTCAGGGAGGTTGAGGGAGTGGACACCCTGTCATTTAGGCAGTTCAGGATCGCCATACATAGCACTCTGGAAAGGATACTCCAGTTTTGCTGCAAGATGTTAACTTAACACGTAAGTCAACAATTACAAGTGATAAACTCAATTTGACTGGCATAAAGAATGGATGCAACAGGCTGTCTCCAATAGCAGGAGAACCACTGTGTCCCAGTGATCATTCAGCACCATCTCCAGTCAGATAGTCCTGCTAGTGAGATGCTATCCCATTGTGGTACATCTGCTACATGAGAAATCAAAGTTCTGAGAGTTTGTTCATCAAATGGGCAGAATTCATCATTCCAAACAAAGAAACAAAAACAAACAAAACAAATTAAAAGAAGGAAGATGACAACTCTTCAATGGCAAGCGGAGCATGAAGGTTGATGTGCACAGGATTGACAGACAACTTTTAGCTGGTTGATAATGATTACAAAACAGCTGTGATAAACATGGAACCTGATACTCTGAACATCAAGACACCATCCCACACAGCAGAACAAGCAGAGTGAGAGCAGTCGACTGAACTAAAAACACATTCATCTGGCAGGAAAACAGTTCAAAGGAAACATGAGGAAGTTGTAGGTTTTCCTGTGGGAAAGCTCTTGAAAATAGCACACCCTAGAAATGGTTCAAATTGTGTTCTCTCCACTCACATTTCAATTTGAGCTGAGCCAGTTATACAAGGCTCATACCAGATTGTCTCCAAATGCTTCCAGGCCTGTTGTGTTTCTCTAGCTTTTTCTTTGTTCTAGTTAACTTCATGATTATCTACACTCCAATGCAGTGCTCCATTACAGAAGCAAAATACTAGTTCCATGAACAGCTTGACACTACAATCTGCAGAATCCTTAAGTCATAACATCTTTATCCACTGAGCAATTGCACTGTCTATGGGGCACAGTTTTCCTGCCCAGAACATCATGACCAGGGAAAAATAAATGAGAACATCCAGCCACTACTTAAGCTTTTCTGCAAGCACAAACCTTAGGTAATGAACACCTTCTTTCAGAAGGAACCATGCCACAAGACATCTGAGAAATATCCAAGATCAAGGCATTGGTATCTGCTAGACCTGATCATCAGATGTGACTCACTGAATAGCATTCACAACACAAGCAGGTGCTACAGGTCTTGTTGTAATATAGATCATTTTCTGCTTTGCACCAAGGTTAGCATGCAATCCTTGAAGGTTGTTATTCAAAGAATCTCACATCAACATCAATCATACTGCCTACCTATATAAAACTAATCATTTTCAACAACTGGACTGGCACCCTTCAGCATTCCACATGGAGTGCAAAATCTGAATTTAATATGGTCCAAGATACCATTCACAATACCACGTTCTCAACGTATGGGAGGTAGGTGCAGAAAATGCTGACTCTTATGAGGCTGAAGTCACTCTGATGGAACTTGTCATTGAAACCAACTTGTCTGCTCACCTTAATTATACGAGATGCCTGAGCAAGAAGACTCTGAATGGAGTCATTGGACTGCCAGTCGGCATGCTGACGGCCACTGGTTACAACTTTGCCAGAATATCCACAAGTAATTCAACACAAGGGATGCTAGAGGTGCACAATATCAAAAAAACGACGGTCCATTATCAAAGAAAGCAGCTCCACTCAAAAAAATGGTCAAGGTCATAATAACTACAAAAACAGTTAAAAGGTGAGTGGAACCCTACCTTGAGCTGTAAGGCAGGGAGAACGCAGTCACTGAGGAAGTGCCAGACACCACAGAAAACCCATCTCTCAAAGCAGAGCTGGATGGAGAATCTACAGAGAAGGACTTTAGCAAAGCTACTGACTCATTTGCCATTGGCATAGCGCCGCTATAATTCATTGACCATGGGAAACAGTAACATCTGCATAGAGATATAAGGCTCTGCTGAGAGGAGACAGTGTCCCAAGAATTTTTTTTTTTAATTTTTATTTATGCTTAGAATGTGGTATAGAATAGAATCCCTACAGTGAGGAAAGAGGCCATTTGACCCATCAAGTCTGCACTGACCCTCCAAAGAGCACCCCGTCCAGAAGCCCCTATCCCAATAACCTCTCTTTTATCATGTTTAATTCACCTAGCTTGCATATATCTGGACAGCACAGGGCAATCCATCTAACCTGCACCATCTTTTGACTGTGGGAGGAAACTGCAGCACCCGGTGGATACCCACACAGACAGAGGGAGAACATGCTAACTCCAGACAGACAGTCACCCAAGGCTGGAATCAAAACTGGGTCCCTGGTGCTGTGGGGCAGCAGTGCTAACCACTGAGCCACCGTGCCAATCAGAAAGAAGTTAGCTCAACATAGACTTTGCAAAAGCACTCGGTTGTTGAGCCTAACTGCGAGAGATGAAACAACTTGGAATATGGAAGAAAAATCGTTAGGTAAATATGAGGGGCATTTTTGGGAAAAAGCACAGTTAATAAATAGATGATGCCTAAAGCTGATGTTCCTCTTTAAGTTACAAGTTATTAAACAAATATGCTTCAGAATGTAGCCCAATATTATACACAGGAAGTACTACAAGGAAGTTGTAGGGTGGAAAACATTTGCAGTATTTGTCTATTCTTCCATCCATTCAGCTAGTATATAACAGTGTACTAATCGCTACAATTTGCAAGATGTCTGAGGCAACTGGTTTTCCTATTTAGAGCTCTGCAAATATATCCATCTGAATCCAATAACTTCTGTAGATCTACTCCAGTGTGAATTCCCAGCCCATTCAACACGTATACTACAACCTCAGTTGCCATATTTCCAGATACACCTTGTGCAGAAGGACAACTACCCAAGCCAGCTATTGATGAGTCCGTTGTTGAGATTCCAATCTGTAACGCTGCAAAGATGTTGACAAGATTTGTGGACGTTGCTTTCATTGCCTCATTCCTTACTGCCCTGAAGGAGCTGGTATTGAGTTTCCTTCATGAACTACATTTGCTGCCACAGTATTTAGATGGCTGGCCCAGTTGGAATGGGCAATAAATGCTGGTCTAGTTAGTGTAGACCACATGCTATGAATGAATTAAAAAAAGTTGTTTCTGGTCAATTGTATCTCAGGGATGTTGATAGTGGGGGCCTCACCAATTGTAATACTACTTAATGTCAACGGGTGTAGGTTAAATTCTCTTGTTTAAGATGGTAATTGTCTGGCGGTTGTGTAGCATGAACGCTACTTCTGTAATGGAAAGACATGATCATGTACAACAATGACAATCGCTGTTATTGCAACAACTCTCAAGGCACCTCCCTGTTGAGTATTGCAGGCAAAATATTTATTGAGTTGCTCTTGTCGGATTGCAAGTTCTGATTTAACACGTCTATCCCGAATCCTAGTGTAGTTTCAGAAATAGAAGATCTACAATTGCTATGATCTTCTCAGTCTATTGGCTGCAGGAGAAATACTATGAATAATAGAGACCACAAAGTATCGCCTCTGTCCATTTGACCCAGGAATTTAACCAGTGTTTGATTTTCAGAAGTTGTTGCCACGAATGAACTTTGAAGGATCACGCAGAAGAAAACAATATTGGAGAGAATTAACAGTCAAGCACATAAGCAGAAGTACAGGAATTTCTGCTATAATGCTTGTTTCGTTAACTCAAATTGGCTGCAATGCGATTGATGAATAGTAGACACTGTTTGGATAATGCAAACTTTCTTTCCGTTTAATGCGATTTTCTATAGCATGACTTTCTATAGCGTGAGGTCACACAAGAACGCAACTATCATGTTATAGGTGAAATACCTGTAGTCTATTTCAGTACATGTAGAAAACTGGCTATCTGCTGAAACAGTTAAATGTGATATGCTTTTACCATGACAGCATGATGGATGAGGTCAGCTAAGACACAGCACAATGGAATCCATATTGGGGTCAAACAATGTTATATTCTGACACTAAGAATCTTTAGCATATTTTTGTCGGCTGCTGCCAATTGCTTTCACCTAACCCACAGAGGGTGAGATACAAACTAGAACTGATGGAAATCTATTCAGCCTTGTGGTCTGAGATCCAAGGCAAAAGTTCATCAAGTTCTCATCACAAGACCTGCTCTATGTTGACAATGCTGCAAACTGACAGAGTATCTCACATCTGTAAAGTATTTGGTTTGACTATCAGCAGCAGGAATACAAGTGTCACAACCCAAGATGCGGTCATATCACCATCTATTGGCATTGACACTATGATGCTGGACCTTGTTGATAGCCTCATGTTCCATGACCACTGCCACAAAAGTTAGCATGTACATACAGCAAGTAATAGGAAGGCAAATAGAATGTCATCCTTTGATGCGAAGACGATGGAGGATAAATCCAGGGAAGTCCTACCGTTACAGTGCAAGGACGTTGGTGAGACTGCACCTGGAGTTCTGTACAATTTTGGTCTCCTTAATCTTAAGGTACACACTTGCATTGGAAACAATTCAGAAATGTCTCACTCAACAGACTCCTAGGATGAGAGAACTGCATTATGAAGGTTGAACGTGTTGGGGTGGTACTCATTGCGGTTAAGAAGAATTAGAGGTGATTTTATTAAAACATAAAAGATTTTGAGGGGGCATGACAAGGAAATGCTGAGAGGACATTTCTTCCATGGAGGAATTTTAGAACTGTGGGGCATAGCATAAAAATAAGGATTTTCCCATTTAAAACAGAGATGAAAAGGGATTTATTCTCTGGAATTTTGTTCCCCAGCAAGCAATAGAGGCTAGTCATTGAACCTTTTTGAATTTTTTGATCTAGAAGGGAGTCAAGGATTACAGGGAGGAGGCACGGATGTCGCATTAACACCATAATCAGAGCAAGCAAGATATTATTGAATGGCAGAGCAAATTTAAATTCAATCTCAAGGGCTAAATCTCTTACTCCTGTTGCTGTATCTTATGATCTAACAGCTAAGCTGGATGGTGGAACAGACTCAAAGGGCTACATAGCTTACATGTTCTAACACTCCCTCACAATATACAGCACCTTCATGTTCTTTTCATATTCTTCAACCCCTCATCATGCATCTTATACAGAAGGCTTGTATGGTCATCTTAAAAAGCATTTTAACAGACATAAATCCCGATACTTAACTGTTTTTCCTCCAAGTACGTGAGATATTATGTGTTCACTTGATTGCTGTGGCTCTGATATTCCATTCTCTTCAAATATCTTTTGCCAATAGGTCACACAGTTTATTCCTGTCATTTTGTCATGTATAAATCGACAAGGATTTCTGGAAAGAGCATTTAAAAAAGCGACAGCCCCAAGAAATCCTGTGTCTTCACTTCGACAATGATAATGTGATTTTACTCTGAAACATGGTGCCAAGTACACACGGCAAGCTGAGAACACTTTCCACCACATCATGGCTGCCCAACGTCCTTCTTAATGCTCCCCACTGTCCTGGCTTGATCTAAGAAAAGTATTTTCGGCATTAATTTTCTTGAATCGTTAGTTGGGAGAACCTTGGCTAGCATGAGGAGCTCATTTATGGACTGAGTTTTGATCTGCACTGTTCCGATTGCCCTTCATGTCAGTCCATAGTCAGTGGATGGAGCTTGAATTACATCTCATTGATTACAATGTTTCAACCAGACCAATTCTAGTATGGAAAATCTGTGAAAAAGATATAGAGTTAGCCAGGTTTAACACATTTCACATTTTATTTTAAAAGATATATTTATTCAAATTTATGATACGCTGCAAGTATCTAAAATGCATCAGTTTTGAAGAAAGGGTCACCGGACCCAAATCGTTAACTCAGCTTTCTCTCCACAAATATTGCCAGACCTGCTGATTTTCCTAGTAATTTCTATTTTTGCATCTAAAATAATATGGTCTTAAAAAGCGGCTGCTTCCCTGTTCTGTGCAGTACATGAAGTTAGTTGATGTAACTAATGCATATTAAAATAGTCAGACAGCCACTTATATAATTTAGCACTTGTCATAGTGATTTAAGGTACTTCAAATTACAATATTTCTTGCTTTACCACAACTCAACACACCTAAATTTGTTTTTTGTTAAATTAACACGACCATTCTCTGCTCTGAAAGACTCCTAATTCTACACAATATCTCACTTTGGTAGTGACTACTCCTGGCCTTGGCAAATGCCATTTTGTGATTGGCTAATTGGAGTTATATGAAAACCTGCTCTAAAAGCTCTGCTCACGTTTTAACAGTTGTTACAACATTTACCACAGCAGCTGAGACAATCCACAACTTTCCAAATAAGACAACTTACAGTATTCTTCAAAATAAAATCAATTCTCCCTGCATATATTTGTTTTTTTTTAATAGGCAAATAGACCAAGAGACAGGGTTGAAATATCACCTCCATTGAGAATGGAGTCAAGCGTGCTGCAGAATGTTCTCTTGTGACAAAAAAAATCAAAAGATTTCTGAATCCTATATCGGGCTGAACTTAAATATATCTGAGACTCCAAAAAATATCAGTTCATTTTGTACTTGCTTGCTGCTATGGAAAATTAACACCTAACAGGTTAGATGGAGAGGGGAAATTGGATCCAGTCTAATTCGTGAACATTCTGGTTGAAATAACTCCACGGAGGCCAGTATCCCGTCACCAAGTCATCCTTTAATTTGCATGTAGAGAGACCTTGACACTGACCTAGCCATCTCGGAGCCAGCTCTCAGAGTGAACAGAACCTTTGATTCTCCTGTTTATATCTGTCAGCCGGCTGTCTGATTGGACCAGATTAACAGTCCCAATCAGGGAACTCATATTCTATGAGGTCCATCTGGCTGACCTTCTTACAATCACTACATCTTTCCTCTTCTGAGTCCAAGGACTTTGTCAGTTCTTCTTTTTGTAGCTCCTCCTGGCACATTTTAGCATTGGGTCAGACTCCGCCAATTCTTCCTTTGATATGAGCAGCATGTAAGGCACAGTAGCTCGCCTCTTGCAACCAGAGCATCTCGAAAGAAATTCATTCTCTTCTTCAGGCAGCAAAGCTTCAAGGCAGGGACATCCACTGTATCCATCTCAGATTCCAAGGTATCTTCAAATCTCCATAAAGCTAGAGAACCCATGGAAAGGCAATCAAGGAACCTGGCATGTTTTGCTCCTGCACTGTTTGTGAGTTTGCAGCATTCGTATGTTTTACTTGCTTGATCAGGACTGCTGCACCTACCTGAACTTTACATGTCACTGGTTCTGACCTCGCGCCGACTATGCCTCTTACCCATGCATGACTGTTCCTGTGATTCCTACACCAAAATTTGAGTCCTGAAGTAAATTGTCTCACTGGCTTAGCAGAGTCTTGTGACCAGAACTGCAGGGCATAGTTTAAAAATAAGGACTTCCCATTTAAAACAGAGATGAGAAGGAATTTATTCTCTGGAATTTTCTTCCCCAGCAAGACTAGTCTTTGAATCTTTTTGAATTTTTTATCTAGAAGGGAGTCAAGGATTACAGGGATTACAAAGCAAGCAAGATATTACTGATTGGCAGAGCAAATTCAATTCAGTCTCAAGGGTTGAATGACTTACTCCTGTTGCTGTGTCTTATGACCTATGTTCCTGATGCTGTTTCACTCTCCCCCGCCAGGTCTGGGAAGATCAGATTCAACCTAGTGTGGAGTCTTCTCCCTATTAGAAACTGTGCCGGAGCTTTCCCTGTAGTTGCATGAGGTGTGGTCCTATAATCAAATAAGAACCGGGACGGTTTGGCATCTAGTGAAGCTGTAGGCTGTTTCTTTAAGTCTGCCTTCACAATTTGGACCGCTGTTTCTGCCAGCCCATTGGATGATGGATGATATGGAGCTGTAAAATGCCATTCAACTTGAGGAAATACACAAATTTCCTGCTGGTAAACGATGGCCCGTTATCTGTGATCAACACTTCTGAGAGTCCGTGTATTGCAAACAATGCGCACAGTTTTTCAATCGTCATCAGGTTTGACAAATGAACTCTTGTGTGCATCCAGCTACTTTGTGTGGGCATCCACAATGGCTATGAACATTGAGCCCATGGAAGAACCTGTATAGTTGACATATTACAGAGTCAAGGCTTTACCTGGCCATCTGATGGTAATTTTTGTCCTAGTTGGCACTCTTGGCACCGCAAACGCAGGTACATCTGCATCCAATCCTGGCCACCAGAGTTCTTGCCAACGTCTTTATTTTGGAAACTCCTGCATGACCCTGATGGTGTTCAGCCAAACGTTGTCCTCAGGTTCAGAGGGGGAGGAATGTGATGATTGTCACACTGTCAACCAACAGCACCTCAGAGAAAAATCGAAAGAACTGCGGATGCTGGAAATCAGGAACAAAAACAGAAGTTGCTGGAAAAGCTCAACAGGTCTGGCAGCATCTGTGAAGGTGAAGACAAAATCTGAAGTTCTGAGGAAGGGTCACCAGACCCAAAACGTTAACTCTGTTTTTGTCTTCACAAATACTGCTGAGCTTTTCCAGCAACTTCTGCTTTAGCACCTCAGAGAATATGTGTTTCCTGGTTTGGGCTGTTAACCTGGTCCGATCAGGGAGCCTTGGCTAACAGATATAAACAGGAATGTCAGACTTTCCGCTCACTCTGCAGGTGCTGGATCAGTGCCAAGAAATGTCCACGTGTAGATAAAGGGTGACTTGGTGATGGAGTACCGGCCTCTGTGGAGTTATTTCAGTTTAATGAAGAGCGGAAGTTACAGTTGACAAGGAGAGGGAGATGGCAAGCAAAGGATACGGAAGATAAAGAGGCAGAAAGTGAAAGTTAATAAGGGAAAAAGAAAATTCTAGAATCCCACATTTACCTTCATCACGAACAAGATAACAAGATGGCGGCGGCCAGGTCGGCAAACGGCGGTTGGGACCTCTCGTCACCAGCGCTGCCCCGCCCCTCACTACGGCCGCGCCCATAACCCCAAGTGACCCCACCCCACTCCTCATGGGAACGCCCAGCGTCCACGCTCTACACCGCCCCTCGCACCATCCCCCCGCCTACTTCCGCATGTCACCACGCCCACCTCCCAAGCGTTCGCCCCGTCGAATCCTCACCACCTCTGCTCCGCCTCCTTATTTCAATCCCGGACCCTTCATTCTCCACCACGCCCCATCCATGTGGCCCCAGCCCCTCAACTAATGTCCCGTCCCCATTTTCCTCGGGCCCCTTCGCCCTGCTCGCTCCCGCCACCTTCTCTTGTCCCGTTCCCCCGCCCCTTCCACCACGGCCCCGCCTCCACCACCTCGACCCGCCCCCTCCTCCACTGCCCGGCCCCGCCCTCTCGGCCCCGGATGCACCTGTGCCTTGCGGACTGTTGTGCGTCAAGTTGGTGTCTTCGCCAAGAGACCATGTCGGTTGGAAACCTCTGGGTGGTAGGGAAACAGGACCTGGTGTCAGTTAGGGTGACCGAGTTTTCGATGAATTAAAGTTAGCAGAGTGCAGAATGTGGAGGTCCGGTTAGAAGGGCGTTGGTGTAGTCATTCCTAGAGTTAACAGGAAGAATGAGGATTTCAGCATCAGATCTGAGGCAAGACCGAACTCAGTTGGTGTTACAGAGGTGGAATTAGACAGTCTCAGAGATAGTGCGAATAGATGGTCAAGAGCTCACTGGAAGGGCTAAGTATGACATGACACGTTTACGAACAGTTTTTTTCTTTATTCTTTCGTGGAATGTGTGCATCATTTCTTGCTCATCTCTAATTGAATCTTCACCTGAGTGGAAAGGGCAGATAAGAGCAACCACATTGGCCAGTCTGCATAAGACAGCTATTTTCCTTCCTAAAGGACATTATTGAGCCGAATGAGTTTCTACAACAATCGATAATAGTTTCCTGGTCACTGTTACAGATGGCTAGCTTTATTTTCAGGATTTATTAATTGAATTCCAATTGCACCAAATTCCAAGGCAGGATTGAACCTGTGTTCTCAGAGTGTTAGCTTGGGCCTCTGGATTATTTGTCCAGTGACATTACCAATACCTTCATACCACATATGATCAAATTAGGAGCAGACACTTGTGGACTGCTCTGCCATTTGATATAATCATGACTTCTGATTATGCCCTCAACTCTACTGTCAACCCCGTATACCCTTTGACTCACTTGTTAACCAGAATCTATCTAACTCAGCCTTAAAAATGATCAACGACCCTGTCTCTACTGGGAATGAAACTTCACACACTGACAGCTCTCATTCTTTTAACCGTTATGTTTCGCTAAATTGAGCCAACCTAGATTAGGCCACAAGCCCAGTAGGTACACTGATAGAAAACGTTTCTCCTCATCTCCTTCTTTGAAGACCCCTCATTTGTAAACTGTTGTGTATTTTAGTTTTAAAAGTACAGTCCCATAAAATGATAAATGTTTACATGTGGCCAGATACCATATAGAAGAGTTTTCTACAGGTGCCCATGCCAATTTTTAATAAGTGTAATTATGTTTTCATATGTGTTTGTCAACAACATCACAAACCAACGCCTTTGTTCATACACCTTTAAGAGAAAATTCTTTCTTAAAATTCCCTCCAATGTGAAGTTGGGAATTTTCACAAAGTCTGCAAAGAAACTTGATTCATAATAAAAAAAAAACCATTTGATTTTTCGCTGGATGAGCTGAAACACTATTAGCTTGCAGCTGATCTCAGGCAGTGGCTATTTACAACAGTGAAACCTTGAGGCTTTTAAAGAACCCAAAGCTGGAATACAGCTCATCACAATCTGGTGCAATTTATGGAACAATGCTGCTGTCCCTAGAAACCAATCTTTTAGTAAAATGTTTAAGTTTCAGAAAGATTAGTCAACACATTCATCATGGCTCTAACTTGCACCATGTAACTATCAAATATGATATAGAGATGCCAGTGTTGGATTGAGGTGGACAAGGTCAAAAATCACATGACACCAGGTTATAGTCCAACACATTTATTTGAAAATGTAAGCTTGCATTTTCAAACAAACCTGTTGGACTATAATAAAAACCAAAAGAACTGTGGATGCTGTAAATCAGGAACAAAAACAAAGTT